TGCTCTAAAAAGTTTTGCTTTTTAACTTTACCTTGGTTAAGCATAGACTTCTGGCAAAACTATGCAAAGAGTAACTACTGGTTAACTTTTTTCCTAAACTTCTTTAAGATGCTAGACTTTAGTCTTTGACATTGAGTCTGCCAGTCTGCCTCACTCCAGCAGCAGTAATAGCTGTTATGACAACTTCAGCCCTACTCAGGTTTTCCTATATCTGGCCTAGTGACCTAAGCTAGCATATTAATGCTACTGCCCTACATGCTTCTAAAAGTTTTCAGAAAGCCCCAGCAGACATGTTGAAGAGTTAACCAGTTTTCAAAGTATTAATGGCAGACTTCCAAAAGAATATAACTCACTGCTGTTTCTTGTGATGGTCAAGAACTATGTAATAGTACAGACATCCTCACAACGCAAAGCTCCTCAGAGGCAAGCTTTGATAGCTGACATTTAAAACACTAGTTGACGTTAAATTGCTGTACTCCTACTGCTTGTCTAACTGAGAAAGTTTAAGAGTAACTTTAATGTTCTTCTCTTCCATATAGTTACACGATCTGCAGGAACAGAGTCCACAGAAGACCAATTTAAGCCCTGGTTTGGAACTCCAGAGAAAGACAAAGCCTCTGATTGCAGCACACAATAAAGGTGCTCTGTTCCCTGTTGCAAGCTGCCATTGCATGGTTACAGCCAGAATCTGTATATACAAAAGATAATTGCTCCAGGTCAAAAGCCATCAGACTCTGATGGCCATTTCTGCAGCTCAGCCAATTATGGTCCCAAAAGTAACTTTGTATTTTGTTTCATTTTTCAATATCACCTTTCTAGTTTCTGTCTCAAGTTGAGTATTGGAATTTTTTTTAATAGTAAGCAGTGGACCTGACCATTCTGCTACTCTGAATGGAAAATAAACTAGACAGGGCTGCAAGACCAACTATTTCACTAGCCTACTTATATACCTTGTGAGACCTATTTTTTGTGTGTTTTGTATAAGAAAGTTTGTTTTGACAATAAAGTATTTAAAAATATTTTTGCTGTTCGCTTGTGATATTATCTAAGGATGCTGATTACAGTATTCAGTGTTTAAAGACTATATAGTAATCTCACCACTTCATTATTATACTTGTCTGTGTCGTCTATAACTTTCTGCAATAAGTACTTTGTGCAGAAGTTTACTGTTGCACAAGTCTGTGTCAGTGGTGTTTTCTTCTTTCTAACTGAGTCTGTCTGTCAGGAAATGTTTGAAGTCTAAAAGACAGATTTCTCCCTTTCCTTCCCACACACCCTCCACTGCCAAATAAATAGAAATTTGGCACTCAAAACTCGAGAGCAACTCTGTTAAGAATGAAATCTTCATCATGAGGTGAAAATCATACCTAACAATGATACCTGTCTCAAAAACATCATCTTTATTTTACAGGCATAAAGCTCTAAATGATGCTAGGTCTCAAGTACTCTATTTTGCGTTACCCAAAGTGATGAGCAAATGGTTACACTGGCATGTTCCTGGGCAGTCAGCAGTTACTGGAATTGGAAGAGTCACACAAGGATTGTTTATTTCAGAGATCTTTATTAAAGAACCAACTATTTACTTTCACTAACTGATAACTCTGACAACTACTATAACTACTAAGAAATTGCAAGTATTTATCTCTGAATCTCTGGCTGGAATGTATTTTGGGATGCTTTTAAAGATATTGCTAGCCAAAAATACATAAGTTCTAAATACCATTACTGAGTTCAGCACTGCAATGTTTCCTTTCCTACCACAGCCATAGGGATGTAGGAGCAATCTATTTCCTGACAATGATAAGCGCTGGCTTTTGTAGGGTGGGTTTTTTGTTTTGGGGTTGGTTGGTTGGGGGTTTTTTGTTTGTTTTGGTTGGTTGGTTTTCTCAGTTTTCCACTATGGCTGAAAGAGACTTCTTTTGGCTACCAGCTGGTTTTTTTCATTCCTTCCATTTTGGTGTTCTAATAAATGAATTAAAACTGACCTTTTTTTTTTTCAGAAAGGGGAAACAAGGTGTACATATAGATTGGACTAGGTGATCTTTAAGGTCCGTTCCAACCCAAACCATTCTATCTGCCTCTTACATATAATTTCAAGGGGGTTATTTTGTTAATTATTGCTTGCTTGAAACATTTCCGGATTTGGAGATTTTTCTGGTGATTGAGCTGAAAAATGGTAACCTGTCGCAACAGGTCTGTGTCTGAATTCAGTAGGCAAAAGGCTATGGGCAGAAGAATAAATTCTTTTAGAAAAACTAGTTATTAAAGACTTTGTTTACTAGGGAACTGAATTACAAAGCCTTAGACAGCTATCATGCTCTAGCAGAAAGACAAAGTAAACTTACTGAACTTGGTGTATGTGTGTCCCACTTTACCCACAGAAATGGCTTTTCTGAGGCAAATGTGCCCAACTGAAGTTCAAGCAGGACTCCAAATCCTTTAAGAATGCAGTCAGGTAGCCTTAGGTCTGGTATGAGCCTATAACTGAACTAGTTTGTCCCAGGTTTTTGCAATCTAATGATATTAGCTCTGCTGTAACAAATCTAAGTTAAACCACTGGACGCAAAGAAAAAAGTTTAAGAGAAAAAAAAACCCATCATGTAAGTATTGTCCTAGTTTGGAATGTGATAGTTTATATTGCTAAAGAGAGACTGCTTGGGAAAAACATGTTTGTGGTCTTTTTTTGGTGTGAATCCTGCCGATCTCTTGAACTTAGGGAGAAAGGACAGCTAATGCTGGTGATCCTTTTTTTTTGTCCTTTCTTGTGCAGGACAAAAGCCACACTTATTAAATTCTGAGTTTCACTAGATGGCAGCATCTCGATGTTACAACAGGAAATTACGGTGGTATTAAGAAACTTGCCAGTTAAACTACAAATCCCAACAAGCACAGCAAGAAAAGTATAAAACTTCCTTTTGTGCAAAAAAGGTCAGTAAGCATAACAAGCTGTTTGAGATCTCTTGGTGAGTGACTATATTAATATTTATTTTTAAATGCTTTACGGAACCGGTGTGGCAAATGCTCATAAAAAGTGATTGTTAGATTGAAAAATGTATTTATGGTGCATTTTGCTTCCAAAGCGTTACGGTGATCTGTGGAAGTACGTGGACTGATCAGAGGTTTTTTCCCGCTGAAAAGAAGTGTGTGGCAACAAAGAATAAGGGCTTCCTCTGCCCTGAGTGAGCACTTTGAGCTCTTGTTGAGATACTCAGGACTTGCTGCAATTAATAAAACAGTGTTTCAGGAGTTGCATTTTGGAAAGCTTGGCACCTTAGAGAAAGAGTGCAACCTAGTTGCGTGTGTAATCTCATCGTGCTCAGTTAACTTGGTATTTTTCACCTCTCAATGCAAAAAGGCTATGCTAAGGTAAAGCCTATCTCATAACCTTGTAGAGCCTACCATCAGAGGAATCCGAAGAAATCTCTTTTTTACTAGCCAACCTAAAAAGTTATTTTTAAGATATTGTGCTTTCCTGTAAATAGAAAGGTGCATCTCTGTTACTGTTTGCTTAGGAGACTGCTCTTATGTTTTGTGCTTTGTTTCTTTCTTTGTGAGTGTGTGTGCATGTCCCCACAGTTACAGGGGGGAACCTACGGTGAAACATTTCAGTGTCTTTAAACATGGTCTGTAACTCAGTCTGAGTTTAAATCAAAAGAGAGAATGTTTTTGTACTAGAACAGCAAAATAGTTTCGCTGCTTCAGAAGAAGTCTGATTTGTTGAATCTGTAATCTTCGGGGAAATATTAGTTTTGCTGCAACTTTTGTCAGAAAAAGCTGCTGAGAAAACAGACTTTCTGGTCAAAATCAGAAATTAATAGTCTGGTTTTAGATGTAGGATACTAAACTAGACTCAGTAAACTGAGTTAGTGTGGCTTTGAGCATCTCTAAATAGCATTTGGTTGCTAATCTAGGGGAGATGCTATAATCTTTATCTTAACTTTTCAGTGAGGTACCCAGTATGTTGGATTTATGTGTATGTTTAAAGACCTCAGGTTCTTGGGACACCTTTCCACACTGGTAGCTACATAAACAAATTTTGCTCTGTGGATTACAAAAGCACAAGAAGTTTTGCTTATTGCGAACCCAGTTAACAAACACCAGATACTGCACTCTGACTGGAACACAGTGACCTTATTTTTTGGCTGTTCTTTGAAACATCCTATTAAGTAGTTTGCTCCTTAAATAACCAAAAATCCTCCTGGAAACTTGTGACTAGGAGTGAGAGGATAGCATTTGCTTTTTACTTTACATGCCATGTTTCTTTAAGCATAATGCAGCATTAAAAAGTGTGTGCTTGGGCAGAAGAGGGCTACACTTTGCCTTTTGTCTGCTACACATTGAGTAAAGTGGAACCTCCTGGAGGTTCTCCCAGCATGCGTGCCCCAAGCATGCTCAGTAGTTCCCTGAGAGCAAGCAATGGGAGAGAGGTGAGAAAGGACAGAGCTTCATTCACCTCCACCCTCCTGCCTTGTTGGAGCTGGGAATCTGCTGTGCTGGAAGATTCCTAAGACAATTCAGAGCAGACACCAAGGCAGGGATATAGTGTGGCATTTATTGCAACCTAGGAAGTTGATGAGCCTGTACTTTGAGAGGACTAGAAGACAGATCTGCTTTCTGAAAACACAATGGACAGTGGAAACACGACATTACAAACTTGTGCTTCTGTTTCAACTTGACTTTTTTTTCTGTTTAAGGAAAAATAAAATTCAGTTTCTGTTACAATAAAGCTTGGCTTTTGAGCTCAAATGCCCTTTGATCTCTCTGAGGCCCTTACTCATGGAGGGGGGGGAATAAGCTAAGGCAGTTTCCCTCCTCAGAACCCTGGATTGACTCGGGGTCACACTGCAGCCAAACAGGACAATCTGTGATATGATTTGAGGGCAGAGGTACTCTGAATCATGTCTAGTTTCTGGAATGTGTTTGCATCTGATCCCCAGAGAGTGTTGTTGGCTCATCTTTTTGTTAAAGATTCTGTGACATCTTCTGTCAGCACAGGTCAGCAGTATGGGTCGGCTTGATGGGAAGATCATACTGCTATCTGCAGCAGCACAGGGGATGGGACGAGCAGCTGCTATAGTAAGTTGGAAAATGTTTTCCTGTACCTGAGCTAGGTCTCTAATGCTAGCAATGACACCTGCACCAAATGAGTTCTTGAATTAATAAACAATAAATGAAGCCAGGTCTACCCATTGAAAAATTTGAGGAATAATACAGACACTATACTGTGTCATGCATGCTTTGTGCTGTTTAAATTTCTGAAAGTCTTCAGCTCTGAGATGATGGACAAGGATAAGGACAATCTTTGAGAACAGCTGTAGCTGCTTTTCTAACAACATATGATTGTACTGTCTGTACCTGTAATACCTCTGCTGCTTTGTTCTTGAAGAAGGTAAGGAGGATGGAGGGAGTATTTCCAGTTACAAGGCTGGATACAACTGCAAGGATCCCCTACAGTAGAGCCAGGATGTTTTATCTATGTTAATAGTTGGCATAACCATGTCTATGTGATACTAGCAGCACAGCTACAATATTTTTCACAATGAGCACCTGTGAGAAGTCTTTTACAAATTTTAATAACTGTTGAATAGCATTCAGAATAAGTATTAACTTTTTGGTTAACTATTAAATCCTTTTGACCTGTTCTTCCCTTGCTACTTCCTTCTTCCATAGCAAATAGAGAAACAAGTAGACTTATCTCAGTATTTCTGTAATGTAATCAACAAGCCAGGACAAGCTCCTGTAAGTGTGACTTTTGCCAGACTAGCTAGTGTCTCATGCATGTAGTTAAGAATGCAGAGAACTGCTGATCTTGGCAGCACTTACTCCTTTGGCTGTTTGAACGTAATTTTCCTGATTATTTCACTTTGTAAATATCCAACAAGGCACAGCCACTATCCTCTTAAGCTGCACTTGAGACACTTATTTTGAAGATTAGGGGTTACAGTCTGAGATATGAGAATATTTTGAACATAGAGGTTACTTTGGTAGCGTAGCTGTTGATTTATCAGTAATCACAATGCAGAGAAAGTAGGCGTTGAGGGGAGCATCAAGAATGATAAAATGTCTCTGGTTACATATCAAAAGTTATGCTTCTCTTAGTGTTGCTCTGTTCCAATGATTTGGATGCAAAGGATTTTCATAAAGTTTACATGCCACCATTCCTTTTTTATTATTTGTGTCTTTACCTGTCAAATCCCATAACTTCATTTACATCCAACAATACAGACAATTCTAGCCCTACATGTTTGTAGTGCTAGCTAGTGCACATGCAGCTAATAAGGGCAATAATAATACTAATTGTCTTAATCTAGTTACTGTCCTTATACTTTATTTATGGATTCCTTACTTTAAGGAAAATATCTTAAATCTGTCTTATATCATGTATAGTTACTTAGTTGTCCCCAGGATGTGGGTATTTGATGTCCATTACTCCCTGACATGTTCAGAATGAGAAGTGAGAGATCAGCTGTCTTCAGCCAACATTTATTTTAAGCCCTAAAGAAAATAAGAAGAAAACATATTTTATTTCTGTTAAGATCTGGAATATCTAAATAAAAACTGCTTCTCTTGTATTCTTCAGGCTTTTGCTAAAGAAGGAGCCCAAGTCATTGCTACAGACATAAATGAGTCCAAACTGCAAGAACTGAAGAAATACCCAGGTAAATGACTTACAGCAGTTATTAGTTCAGCTCTTGCAAGTTTTGTTGTAGACTGGCTGAAATATAATTTGAGGATAGGGAAAACATCAAAACACTAGAAAATATGGAAAATATCTAGACTAATTCTTTAGATACTGGCATTGCTTTATTCTGTGGTGTGAAATGGCAGAAATTTAGCATGTAAAATACTGCAACATCAGCATGTCAGACAGAGTATTATCTCATGCATGTGGAATAACAGTTTCTTGTGTCACAGAAGCAGCTGATTTCTGCTTTCCAGAGTGGCACCCATTTCAGTAACCTGAGATCACTAGGCAAATTGTCAAACATAGCACTTTAAAGGTATGGAATGTTTTTCTCTGATCACAAGAACTAGCATCCAGCTAGTTTTGCATTTCCATGGTCCATACTTACTAAGGAATGCTTCAAAAGGATAGATGTCTAGTAGAATTGTAAGTCTTCCAAATTCCACCAACACTAGGTAAGCCTATTCTGCTTGTACAAACACTCAGGCTTGAAGGTTGCTTTCCT